CAAGAGGCAGTGGACACCCTGGACAGGTCGCAAGTCCATCACAGAGACACATAGAGACAAACAACCATTCACTCTCTCACTCACACCTAGAGACAATTCAGAGTTACAAATCAGCCTAACATGCATGTTTTTGGTCTGTGGCAGGAAACCCAAGTACCTGGAGAAAACCCACGCATGCACGGAGAGAACATGCAAACTCCACCCAAAAAGGTCCCCGGCCCGGGATTTGAACCAGGGTAGCCTGCTCGCTGAGAGGCAGCAGCTCTACCAACTGCGCCACCATGCTGCTCAATACATTTACATTTTTAGACAAAATAAAAGACAAGATTCTTGTAAAGAAGGAAAAATATTATGTTCTTGTCCAAGTTTAAAAAAAAAACTAAAACCATGCACTATGCAGGTCTATGCGATTTTTTTTTTAACTGTCGAAAAATTAAGTATCCTACTCCGAAGAAGTAAAGTATGAAGTGAAAGTGAGTATGCGTTACTCATTGTAATGGTTCTAGTATTCACATACAAGTACATACAAAGGAAATAACAGAAAAACTGCTAAATCTTGTCCTTTTTGTTGCTATAACAACCAATAAAATTCAGTTTAAAGTCAATTTTGATCAAAGCTTGAAAGAGCCGCTGCAGAGGGACCAAAGAGCCGCATGTGGCTCCAGAGCCGCAGGTTGCAGAGCCCAGGCTCCTATCCCTAGGAGTTGATGATAACAGACTCGTTACAGCTAAGGTGAGAGCTTCTGGCATTTCAGTGGCACTGGTTTTTACAGATAGTTTCACTTGGAGCACACAAATAGGTCATATGAAGATAAAATAGTCCTTTATCTAAATATGATGCCACAGCAAACACTGCACTAGTGGGAGATGTGCAGTTGCTGATAATGTGGCAACAAAATGTTTGGTAGTTCTGTGACAATCCAGTCAGTTTAGAGCAGAGATAATCAACTGGTGGAGCAAACCAGGCCCATGGATGAGCTCTGTTCGGCCCACCAACAGGTTCAGTTTTAAATAAATTGAGATTTTAAACCATGAAACAAACTTACTTAATGACGATAACTTCTGGATGTCCACCCCCTGGGCGCTTGGCTTTCAGTAACGGTGCCCCCCTGAACAATTTAGCTGAATAGCCCTGGTTTAGAACAATGCTAAAAGATGCACAGTTTTAATCTTTTGGATCAGTTACAGACGATATATTTTTCTATCTGTCTCCATAAAAAAACCTGAATGAATGAGTGAATAAACGAAATTATTCAAACCATTCCTGAACAGTTTTCATTTATGCTGGTTGCATGAAAGGATGATATTTTCATTTAAAGGTCCGAAGGTGAACAGGAAAGTTTAGATGGTTATTTATCAAACTATAACTCCATCTATGACTGGATCCTGTTTGTTGAATTGTCTTGATTATTTGTTTTCTGACTTAATCACATTAATTGACAGACGCACTTGTAACTTTGTAAGATGATAAATGTTATTTACTTTGTCTGTCATTGCTCTTAATTATTTTTTTTTGAGAGCCGTTGAGCAAAATTGGAAAATATTGAGCTTCATTTGTAGTTTTTGCTTTTGAACACAGCAAAGTCAGCTGTTACCCTTAATTAAATCTTTACTTAAAACAAAAATGCTAGCTGTGCTTTTATACAAACATTCATCTAACGTTCTGCTAAAGAACAATTCTGTGTATCATCAGAGATGATGAAAAAAACCTCTGTCGAGAAGTTTTTATGATTGGTTTACTTTATCTGTTTTGTTGGCAGCTTTGGGAGGTGAGGCCTTTTTTAACAGCTCCTGCTCAGCCTTGAAAATATAATACACTCTCACGCTGCTCTTTTTGCTGTCCTTCTCTCTCTTTTTGATACTGCCCCTTCATTCCTGCAGTCACATCATCAAGAAATGTCTAATAAATTTAGTTCAGTGCCTTAACATTGAGGCATAATAACATACAGTTGTTTATTTTAAGGGTCTTAATGAATATGATGAATAATGTAATGAAATATGGCACTACACAAACGGTGAGCTCACACAGAGAGATGCTTCGCTGTGACGCCCATCACACTCCTAAAGGAACCCCCCCTCCCCCCCTTTTTTCTTTGCTCTCCATCACCATGGATACAATGATGCAGGTTACCGTGGCAGCCAAGTCAACCCCAAACCCACACAAAGGTAACACGTGCACATGCTTTACGCACGCATGTGGTGACGTCAAAGACTAAGGTTCCTCTAGCTGTTACGAAGGAGGCAGGGATGAAACAACATTTTTCATCCCTCTATTTATGTCCTTTTTCTTTTTGTTCTCGTTTCTGAACGAATGGAGGCAGCTTTCAGCAGCAATCTGAGTTTAAAATAAAAGGCATGAAATAATTTGTAGATACAGATAAATGACCCACATCTCCTCTGTTGTTATGAGAAATATGCATGGATTGTTATTCTCTCCTGCTCTTGTGTTGATTCCTCTTTAGGGGATTAGACTCCCTGAAGGTTTGTCTCTTCTACCACCTAGTGTTCAAACTGCAAATAATGTGTGTGCGCGTGTTTATTATTGTGTGAATGCCTCACACTGGTTTTGTGCTATTACAATTCATAAATGAACCGTTCAGCTGTTTCAGGACAAGTCTGCTATGACTTTTGGTATTGGTGCAACTTTAGCTTCTTGAGATATTTAGCCTTTTCTGCCATTTTTGCTCTCATTGAAAATGAATGGATCTCAGTTTACATCCTTAATAACTTTTGATCTGTTTACAACTTTTTACTAAAACTTTCACGTTTAGACCCGGTTACTCTTCTTTCAGCTTCCTTGTGCAAAATTTTAAACTAATTTCAGCTACTTCAGCTAATTACAGCTGTTTTTTCCAGCTGTTTTGTGCTCCGCTTGATTCAGTTAACTTCAACATTTTTGTGCTTCTTCAGACTTAGTTATGCCAATTTCAGCTTGTTCTGCTCCTTTCAGCTTATTTCTGCAGATTTCAGCTATTTCTGCTATTTCAGTTAGCATTTAGCTGTTTAGGCTAATTTCACCTTTTTCAGCTAATTCCACATTTTTTGTAATCTTTTAAACTTTTTTCAGCCTAATTCAGCAAAAGCATGCTCTCCCGACTTCCTTCTTGTAATTTAAGCTTCTTTCTGCTTGTTTTAGCTACTATTCAGCTGTTTTTAGCAAATTTCAGCTTTTCTCAGATAATTTCAACTTTGTGCTAATTTATGCCTACTTCAGCCTTAGTGGGTACAATTAATTTCCTTCCACTTCCTTTTGGAAATTTAAGCTTCTTTCTACATTTCGCTAGCGTCTATTCAGCTGTTTTATAGAACAACTGGGATAACGTTGCCATTTTTAGAGCTATTCAGCTGAAATTTGGTGTATTAGCTGATAAGAATCCCTAATGGACTTTGACTGAAAATCAAAAATACAAGATGGCCACCTTAGGAAAAAATGAAAAAAAAAAACCATACTATAAATCAGACAATATTAGTCATGTTGACCTGAAAGTTGGTGTGAAGATAGCTGACAATGTTTCCCATCAAATGCAGCATGAAAACAAAAAATCCAAGATGGCCACCAGCGCTCCTTTTGAATGGATTTAACTCAACCATTTTTACACATACAGAGCTGAAATTTGCTGAGGTTAGAGCTGAGAACGTTCCCTATCACATACTGCATCCACATCAAAAATCCAATATGGCCGCCTTAGCTAAAAGGAAAAAAATACTCTAACTCAGGCATTTTTAGAACTATTCAGCTGAAGTTTGGTATATTGGTAGCTGAGAGTGAACCCAAGCACATGTAGTACTGTCAGATGAAAAGTTCATATTGGCAGCAGCCTGGCAGACCATTACATTAGGAACAGTTGTGCACTTTCTGCTTCCTCTGATATTTGATGTTTCTTTCTGCTATTTTAAGCTACTTTTCAACTGTTTTCTTGACATTCTTAAGCAAGAGGCATTCACACTTGTATTTTCACAGGAAATGCAATTTCTCTAGTTATTATTGGTTTAAATCAGGGGTGGACAATTTTTTTTTTTCCAAAGGGCCAAATCAAAATATTTTAAGCAAATGAAGGGCCATTTAGAGAATTTCAAAATATTTTTTTTATCAAGACATAAAATCTTAAAAAAAACAAACAAACAAAAAAAGTTTTTCAGGCTTTTTCTTGTAGCATAGTTATGCTGAATAAAAATATATGTCCCCCAAATACAGTGTAGAAATATAAGGCATACGTTCTGTACAATGGCTCTTGTGACAATATATTATCATAAATCTGGGGTAAAAAAGTAATATATTTGAGTTTTGGAGTCTTTATTTTTAGTCTAATTCTAGAAACACAACTTAAAAAATATCCTTATTCTAAAGGTTTTTATGTATTGAGCCAAGATGCTTAATTTAAAATTATTTGTTTCATTCATAAATGTCTTCATCAACTTTAAAAAACAAAGTTGTTTTCTTTTCAATTTAAGAGTTTTGGGGGTCGGATGGCGGTTGTCCAAGGGCCACTTTTGTCCCTCAGGCTGTATGTTGCCCATGCACGTCTGGTTTAAATGGAGGATTTTTCCAGATCTGGATCTCAAGGATGAGCCACAAATAAATGTAAGCATGAGATTTCCACAACCATACTTTGAAAACACACGTAGAAGACGTGCTTAGCTCTATCTCATTGTTGAACAAGTTGTTGATTTTCAGTTAGTTTTGGGTTGTATTGTTCCCACTATTGAATAATGAAACAAAATCAGAGTGGACATATAAAAAAAAAGAGGAGGAAAAAACACTTTGAAATGAGTAATTAAAGAAAAAAGCAAGTTATTTGAAATCTGCAGCTCCAACTCAAGATCAATTTATTACTTTATTCAAATTGTATAAAATCTCCGAGCCAGCTTCCTGATTCTGTTATTTGTGCACATCAATACTACAGTTTGCTCACCTTGTCCCACATGGGATTGACCCAAACTTCTTAGTAGTAATCCCTTTTCTCCTAATCCACCTGTCCTTCCTTGCACCAACACACCTTCATCAACTCATGTACCAAACATGTAGGCTGCGTTCTCTCATTTAGACCAGCAGACATTCATGTTGTTGGACTACTGCTGTCGCTGCTGTGGATTCACACTCATAAAACGCCATGGACCGCTCTCCCTCAAGACTACACCCAGTGATACCTGGGTAAGGACACTATAAGCTACAGTAAAATGCTAGAATAGAGAATTACATTTGAGGAAGAAGCATGGCTGAAATCTGTCTCCTATTAGAAATCTGAATCTTTTTTAAAGCCAAAGACTATTACAGTATGTCCAACCTTTAAATTAGAATCTCATTTAAGCTTTCTTGAAAATGGTGGAGGCAGTAAATCTTCACAAGTAGAATTAGGGACAAAGTAGCTAAAGAATAAGTTAGAAAATGTAAAACGATCTAAGTTTGAGTCCTTAACCAAAAAATTGAATTGAGATTATACACAAAAAAACAACATTTAATTTGTTTGACTGATGTGAGTTGGTCCACTCATTGTCTAAGATCAATATAGTTTATGATTTATCTTGTAATGGTCAATTTCAGGGCAGGTTTTTGGGATAAATGAGTGAAATTTAAAGCTTGAAAGTTGATTTCTGAGTCCTTTCTGACCAACAAACCAAAGTGTTATCCAGAGGTGTTCAGCTACCCGTTTCTGAAAGTATCAACTACTTTTCTGGTTCAAGTTCAAGTTGTGTTTATTTGTCATATGCAGGTTAACACTGGGTTAACAGTACAATGAAATGCTTAGGATGAGAAGAACCCATCTGACTCGCTAAAAAAATATCAAAGAACAAACAAGAAAAAAAAACTAAAAGCATGCAATAAGGGTAGAAAAATAAAGTACCAAAAAGTGAAAAAGTAATTATAATATTTACCATGTCCTAAGTCCTAAAGAGAGACAGTGAAGAACAACATAACAATGCAAGCAGGATACACAGGTTGCGTGACAGGGTATTGCGCAGGTAATGACACTGAGATTGAATTATGATGGTAAGGTAGATACATAGATACTGTATTCATACATGATACAGCCACATGGTGCAGCAGCAATAAATAACAAACATATTAGCTGTCACAAGCTAATATTAGTCATTAGTTGTCACAGATGTGGCTTGGTGCAATATTTTTGCCAGTTGTTCAGTGTTATTTATTGAGAGTTTAATAATGTGACAGCTTGTGGGAAATAGCTGTACTTTAGTGTTTTTGTACGCGATGGCAGACTCCTGTATCATCTGCCTGAAGGTAGTAGATGGAAGAGTCCTTGTGCTGGGTGGGTGTGGTCCTTAATGATGCTGCGTGCTTTACGCAGACATAGGCTGTGGTAGATGTCCCGGATGGTGTGGAGACTGCTACCGGTGATGTCCTCTGCTGTTTGCACCACCCTCTGTAGAGCCGCCAGCTCTGAGTGGTGCAGTTCCCGTACCACCTGTGATGCAGCCTGTCAGCAGGCTCTCAGTGGTGCACCTATAAAAGCTGGTGAGGATGCTGGTGTTCATACCAAACTTCTTTAGTCTTGTTAGGAAGTAGAGTCTTTGTTGAGCTTTCTTGGTTACAGACACTCCAACATCTTTGCTGACAGTGTGAACAAGAAAAAAAAATCACTTGTTTATTGACCACAACATCCATGTTAACGTCTCAGGGTCGAAGCTTCAGGACATTCACAGGAATTTCCTAAACTTTTGTGATTAATAAACATAAGAAAATGGAAACAAAGCAAGAATTTATGTCAAAATTATCTTTTGAAGCAAGAGTGAGAATTTTCCCTGAGATGTTTGCAGCTTATGCTGCTTTCAGATCTTAAATTGTTTTCCATCTGTTAGCGCTAACGTGTTTGTTCCTTTGCTGAGTTGTTGGTTTAGAAAAAAAAACTAGTTTCAGGACACTAACATCCCAGACAACAATACTTAAGTAAATAATTTTCTGTAATTAACTAGCTATAAAAAGCCTTCGGCTCACAATTTAGCTACAGACAGCTAGCTTCTTAGCATGCTAATTATTGCCAGTTCTCATCCAACACAGTGAACAAACAACTGCATTATTTTATTTCACCAATAATTATGTGTTCTTTCAGTGTACCCAAACATTTTCACAAATATTTGAATATGTTCAAACTCTTTAAAGCATTGAACTTTAATCTTGAATGATTTATTTTTCTGACTGTGGAGTGTATTACTCTTCCTGTATCTCACGTCTCTCTGTACAACAGCAGACACTTGACTTGTCCCAGCAGGAAATCACAAGTGTAACTAAGAGGATTAACAATGACCCCCATTCCATTTGGGTGTGCCGGTAAGCCATAGAGCCATGTCTGGCTCCAATCCAACAACCAATGCAGCTAACTATCAAAGTAATTAGCAGCACCTGTGGTGGAGCACCCCAAATGTCAGCCATGAGAAAAAGTCTTTTATCTCTCCTCCTGGGGAGTCGTGCACCTCACTTCCTGTAAAGGAGGACATCTATGAAAGCAGGCTTCAGCAAGCAGACGGTAACTGTCTGCTGTCAGGAGGCTGTTTTCTGGGTGGTTGAAGAGAGCAGGAAATGAAAGAGCAAATGTTTCGGGATGCATGTGAAGCAAAAGGTTTATCTTACACTTGATTAAAGTGTTGTGGTTTTTACGTAACTCTGTTGTCATCTTGTCGATTAAAGCCAAAGCTACCAGACAAAGTTTTAAGGGCATAAAGCAAATCTTAATTCTAATAATTAATAATAATAATCAATCGCCTTATAATCTAGTTGTTGTTTTTTTGCTACTATTCCTCGTATTTGTACTATTTTGTTTTGATTTGTTAAAGAAGAGAAACTTAAATTTGTATGCCTTTTTTATGACTGTCTATTGTTGTCGTTGTTATTCACTGTTGTCATCACTCTTTGTTAAGAAATCAGATCTCTCTTGTAAATGAATCTCCGAGGCGCAATGGGATTAACCTGTTTAAATAAAGGTTGAATTAAAAAATATCCCTCCCCTTCTTTTTTTTTGCATTAAGTTCATAATGCCAGTTTTTAGCACTATTTTCTGCCGTACACGTCGCACCGCCTTATAAGTCACATCAGTTCAAATATGTCTAATAAAGTGGAAAAATCCATAACTTGGCCATATAAATCACATCTATTATGTTTCACTACTGATGTGTCGCGTTTGTTACGCGTCACCGCTGACAACTCGGAAATGTGGGCTGGTGTTGTGCCAAAAATCAATTGGCTGCCAAATGATGGGAGCGTGTACGGGAGGACTTTAACAAGAATTTAACTAAATTAACACTTAAAAACAATTGTTTGTTTGCTCGAAATTATAGTAAAGGTGTGTCTCAGTCTAACTTTTCCTTAATAAATGCACTTTGACGGTCATATCAGCTGCATTTCAAAACCCTATTTGTAGAAGTGGGAGTGCGTAGAGGGGCAACTCACTGTGCATTTATTTGACATTTAACAAGATAAGCACCTAAAAACAATTATTTGTTGCTCGACTTTATAGTAAAGTTGTGTCTCAGTTGAACCTTTACTTAATAAAAGGATATTAACAGTCAAATCAGCTGTATTTCAAAAGAATTTGTTGCTTCGGTGCTCCAGGAGCACACAGACAGGGAGGATAAAAGGAAGAAGGAACGCTGCACGTTTCTTCGAAATTTAACAAGATATGCACCTAAAACAATTATTTGTTTGCTCGACATTATAGCAAAGGTGTGTCTCAGTTGAACTTTTACTTAATAAATGCACTTCAATGGTCAAATCAGCTTCATTTCGTTGGAGCGACTCAGCGAAAGGAAGCTGATTGTGTCATTAATGGGGCCGAGATGGTGTAGAGGCAGGGCAGCCGGCTTGGGACCCGAGAGTCCCAGGTTCGATCCCCAGTCACTGCACATCACGTGGCGTCTCTGGGCAGCACGTCTAATTCCCAAAATGTCCCCCGGGCGCTTTCAATAGCTGCCCACTGCACCACCTGGTGGTGGATGGGTTAAATGCAGAGACTAATTTCGCCATTGTATGGAAACATACAGTGCTGACATTGTGATGACATTATTATTATTATTATTATTATTAATAGCCACTTTTACCTATTACATGACACAATGGCATACCATACTACTCGAGTGCCATCTAACTGCTGAAAATGGTAGTGTTCAATATTTTCAATCAGCCAAAAATTGGTTAATACATATGGGACAAAAATCCATAAATAAGTAGCTTCAGTGTATAAGTCACAGGGCATGTAAATTATGCAAAAAACTGTGACTTATAGGCCGAAAAATACGGTAATCAAAATGGAGACAAATAACATGAGTAAGCTACAAAATATGTTATTCAGTGCTACTGACTACTACTACACCTAAAATATGATTTTTTTTGGTTCTAATTTAGAAATCTTTTTGTCACCCATAGTCATGACAATCATTTGCTGTATGTGTTTGTGTTTATTTGTCTGCCAGTTTGCAAAATACCTCTTAAGTTCAAGTTCAAGTTTTTTTTTATCGTCATTCACATCACGTGTGTTACATGAGGTGGAACGGAATTGCGTACTCGGGGTCCCAGTTGCATCAAAAAATAGCAAAAATATTAAGTATAAAAAAGACAGGATCTACTGTAAGATCTACACTAAGATATACACTTAATGAACGCTAAATGATACGCTAAAAGATCTAAGATACAGTATATGTGAAATACTAATAATTTAAAATATAATACAGTGTATTAAACAACAGCCCGAACATGAGTCTGTAGTGAGTACATGGGTATGAACGAATACAGCAGCATGAGATCAGTAGCATGAGATAATCAGCAGCATGAGATCAGCAGCACAGATAAGCCACATATCACCAATTAAAGTGGCATTACAGTGATTTTTTTTTTTTTTTCTTACAGTGATTATCCTGGTTAGGGATTTATGAGTCTACAGTTTCAGGGTATAAGCTGTTCCTCAGTCTAGTGGTTCTAGACTGAGGAACAGCTTCATAAATCCCTAACCAGGATACATCACTTAAATCACTTAACAGAATTAAAACTGTCAGAATGGAATCACCTAGATCTGACCAACTTTTGGAGTCAAGCTGAGTGCCACAACTGACCAGCCTCTCAAATGTAGCCATAACTCAGTGCATTATACAGATGATGTGCAAAAAAAATTGGTGTGGTAGTAGCTGTGAGTCATTCCCAACACTTTGCTTAAAAAAAAAAAAAATCAAATCAATGTAATGCCACGTTGATTGATGATATGTGCTGCTGCTTATCCATACTGCTGATCTCGTGCTGCTGATTATTTCATGCTGCTGTATTCATTCATACCTACACAGACTCATGTTGATGCTGCTGTTGTTCGGCGTATTGTTTTGCACTATTAGTGTTTAGCGTATTTCTTAGTTGATATCTGAGATCATTTATACTCTGACTAATCCTGTACAAAGCCCAGTTAGGTTCTTTTCCAGTGTGTGGAATCACTGGCGCCTTATGGCAATGGATGAACATTCTATTTTTTTTTATTGTGTCTTGTTATTGATTTTCTGGCTTGTTTTTGTTTATGGATCATGTGTGCGTCTGAAATAAAGTTTTGATTGATCGATTGATCCCTAATACTGTTTATTTTACAATTGATATTTTTGCTATTGTTGGCTGTAACTGGGACCCTGTGTACTGTCCTCAGGTGGTTCTGCAGAACCTGCTGATGTGCATGGTGTGCTTCTACTCTCTCTACTACATCGTGGTCAGTCTTTGCATCGGCCTGTTCAGGTAAACTCACACAAACAGGTAAGAAACTACAGATTGAAGCAGAATTGAACCACCTCATGGTCTTTTCTTGCAGAGTTCATGAGATCAACAGCTTGTTGACTCCTTTTGACTACACAACACAACCGTCATGGCAGAATCCCAAGTACCTGGGTGAGTTGTGGTTCTGTAAATTTCAGATACTTTCAGTAAAGTACGTGTACTATATTAATTAAAATGTATTTAAAAATCAAGTTACTCTGATCTTCTTTGAGATGTTCTGCAGTGTTTCAAAAGCCAAATAGTTGTTTTTGTGTGCTGAAGCTGTTTTTTTACATCTAGAAAGAATTATATGTCACTTTAAATACACGACAAGCTTGAAGTGCTCTTTAGACACATGAACACAAAGTAACTTTGTTCAGTTGTGAAACTCTTTACTTTTGTGAGAAACTGTTACAAAAGTCACCTTTCTGATGTCATATTAAGGAGCTCACACTGAGCTTTCAGATTTTTTCCTTGTACTTAGATTATGTGTTTTTGTAGCATATAAATTCCATGAAAAAAGGACACTTTTGTAATATTTTCTTGTGATACTTGTCCACACTACACTAGAATACATTTTAATAATAATAATGCATGACCAGTGGCTCCATGACACAAGACAACACTCAGCAGAGGCTGAATCTGAACATTTCTCACATGGTTGTGAAAGGAGCTGGAGATATTAACAATATTATAAAATTAATTTAAAAAAAAACAACAACATTTAATTATCTAAGTTAGTCCAGATGCTTTTAGAAGGGGGAAAAAAACAAGGAAGACTGTTAAACAACTTTTTCCCCACCACAGTCTGTAAAAGCTGTTTATTCTTTATTACACAAATCATTTTCATATAGTTAAATTTTATCCATTGATTATAATTGATCCCTGAATAAATGTTACAATAAGGCTCCCCTTATAGATGCTAATAAATAGTTTATAGATATGTTAATAATTCCTTGATAAACACTTCATAGATCATTTATAAGTGTTTATTATGCATTAATTAAGGGTGACAGAGAGAAAACTGACCAGTTTCTTGCCAAATCTGTTCACCTATATATTTCATTTAGAGTTGTTATAATATTCATCAAAAAAAAAAAAAAAAAAAAAAAAAAAAAAAAAAAAAAAAAAAAAAAGAGTTGTTATAATAAACGTTTCAGACTAAGTTACTACTTTGTGAGCACAATAAACATTTGGAAACCTATTTTTTTAGGAAATAATAATAGTTGCAGATACATATAATGCATTGATAAAGTACAATATTATATGCAAAAGAAATAGGTTTATACAAAGTAAATGCTTATTGTGCTTACAAATGTCAGGACTGTAGTGAACTAGATGACCTCAAATCTACCAGATGGACAGAGACTGTTATTTTCATTGATCTGAATAAGTCTGGGCCATCTGATGACTTTCTTTCTTGAATTAATCAAGCAGAAAAGACAATCCTCTATAATCATTACTGTCTTACAAATGTTTGATAATCAAATTGTGTTAGTTCACTCAATGCTTTACAGGTTGAAAAGAACTACTCATTTTTATTTTACATAAACAGTAAGTAATGATTTTTATTCCTCATTCAAACAAGAAATCACCTGAATATGCATTTCTTGATTTTCTGTCTGAAATGAGTCAAGTCGTAAGTGTGTGAAAGTTGAAGCTTCGGTCAACTAAATGTTTACTGAAGAAGAAATGTCATGTTTAAACTTTTTCAGAAGATTACCAAGAGTTGGCTCCACGAAGTCTGCTTTTTGCAATAATCTCTCTGTCAGTTGTTAAACAAATTTCATTCTCTGACCTCGACTTTTGATAAACACCTTACGTCAAAACCACTCCTCTTTCTGGTCCATCCACGAATCAGAAAGCTCTGAAGTAAACTCGGAAGTAAACTCATTTAAAATGTGACAACTTCCCGGTTCTATCAGAAAGAGAGAGTTGGAATGGAGAATGGAAAAGTTCTCATGTAGTGCTCAAGGAGTTCTGAAGAGAATTCGAGAATTCAGGATGATCCAGAGACGTTTGGAATTATAATTTCTGTTTGAACGACCCACGCACGACTCTCTCAAGGATTTTAGCTGTTCTCAACGGAGACGCTGATATCAGTTGAAAAGGATTCTTACTGAGGTGATCGATCGTCAACAAGGTAACGGTTTCTTCTTCGACTAAAGTGTACCTGGGACAAGCTGAGATACCTGACGGAGCGTGCAATTTCTGGTTAAACAGATTAAATTCCCTCACATATTCCTCTGTAAGATAAATCTCAAGTTCATCTTAAACTCACCTCTCTCTCATAAATCAGTACAGATATTTTTAGAAATATCTGAAGCAAAGTCCTCAAATCACCGCCGAGTGATTTGAAGTTCATTATTTGTGAAACTGTCTGTTATTATTTTCATATTTTGCCAAATTAATGTAAATGTTTGATGTTAAACTTTGATTCTGAAAATAAATGACTCCATTCATTTAATGGGTCAAAGGTAATAACGTCTCTCGTTCACATTTCTGTTAAATTCAATGCACGGCATTACACAGTCAGAAAAATGAAGAACTCGTGAAAAGTATGCATAAATATACACCACATATATTTGTCATACAACAAGTGACACGTACCCACGTGACTCACTACAAACTGGTGGCTCGTAACGGTTCATGAATGACTGTTAATTCGTGTAAAGATTGATTTAAATGTTGGCATGTTGAAAAAGTAACAGTTTATCAGCTGTGATTGAACGCAGTTGGAGCTGCGCCTTTCAAGAAAACGCTGCATGTTCTAAGCGTTGGGCTAGTAATGTTTTAAGAGCTGAATTGTGTCATTGAGTCTTTATAAAGCTGAATTGTACGTCTGTATGTGTAACATAAGCTGGCTTTGAGCTGTGGAAACGCTTTATTCTGTTTAAACTGTGTTCCAGACGCTGTTCTGGTCCGGTTCGGTTCTTTGGACCGGCTCGGTTCTGAAACGAGTTCGAACGAGTTGTTAAATAGCTAGAAAGACGTTTTGTCACGGAGCGCCGTTCTCTGTGCAGCTCAGGGGGTTTATTCGTTACAAATCTTAACAGAAAAAGTGCATTTTGATGGTTTAAAAGACGAAAAAGTGACGAACTATTTTACGCTAATCTAACTTGCTAGCTGGAGAAAACGCTTCCTGATTGGTTGAATTCGCTGTTGTGGAGTGCTCTGATTGGTTGAGAAGGCTGACTGGCGTGGCTACGTCACTCCCTCTCACCCTGCGCTGCTTTGCCATTGGTGATTTCAGTCACGTGACCCGGAAATGAAATTCGTTTTCATAGGGAAATAAAATCTGCTTTTTAAAGCTGAAAAGTAACTTTAAAGTGGTTTTGACACGCTGGTCAAGTGCTTCGAAGCTATTGGCTGAAATTTTGCTACGTTAGAGTTTAAAATTCGTCAAAAAACGATGTTTTTAAACAACGCTAGCGATGCTAATTTTAAGCTAAACAGCTAACGACCGGAGCTTAAACTACGCTTAAAATCGCTAAATGAAGCTGCTATACTGTCCCAAAAACTCATGTTTGAAGCTATAAAGTCTGATTGCAAAACTTTTGCCACTTTTGTGTAAAAAATCCGTTCAGAAATGTTGATTTTAACCGAGTTTAGCCGAAGCTAACTTCAAGCTAAGCAGCTAACAACAGGATGTCAACCGAACGCCACAGGAAGTTATAGCACCCCTAGTGGACAACACAAAAAGTGACGGAGTTATAATTGTTGAGGTAATACTGACATCTCCTGGCGAGACGTGAGATCACAGGTTTCACTTCGTTTTTAGGTAAAGAGTGAAATTAAACGTTTTCTTTATTTTTCTGTAAGGCAATTTTGAGTTAACAAACTTCCTCAAAGCTGAATAAAACACTGTTATCTTACATTTTAAAAAGTAATAGGTATTTATGCAAAGAAGCATTTACCAAAAAAAATAAAAATTTTATTCACTGATAAATCCTTGTAAAACAGGTTCATAATAAAATTAGAAACTTTTAAAAAACAGATACAGTTACAAATATTCACAGAGTTGAATAGTTTACTCATTTTGCTTGAAGGATAATACACGTTTAATTGCAAAATCACTAAATAAGAGTAAATTTATCAGGAAAAAGAGATTTTCTGTTTAATTTGCCACCTAAATAAAATATCTCTCTATTTAATTTTAAATAGAAGCTTTACAGGAGCAAATACAGTTTTTCTGAAGAAAGACTGATTATTCCTCATCATCAAATTCTTTTCTCTTTTCACCCACCTGGGTTGATGAGTAACTGTTTAAAATAGCAAATTTCTGGAACAGAACGGTTTAAAAAAACGTTTTAAACTAATATTGCTGTGAGACTAAAGAAAATTTGCAGGTTTATAAAAAATTCAGTGTTTTAGAGTAAAATACACTAAAAAACAGCTTGGTACTCTAGTATCTGTGGAAAATAAGCACAAAAAGTAACACTGCCAAAAGAGCGTTTACTTAAATATTCATGAATTGGGGTAAAACCTGAGAAAGGTACCCACAGTTGAATAAGTGACTTATAACAGTACTTCTGTGTAAACCCAAAGCTAAAATAAGTGTGAAAACTCATTGACTTGAATACAAATATTTACCTGTAAAATATCTAAAGCTTGCAACTGTTCAAACAGATAAATTGCTACACAGTGAAAATATGACAGGTGTGTTAGAAAAAGATTTTGATCCAAAAGGAATGGCGGACTGCTTGGAGAATGCGTTCGCGCTTCTCGGAGCGTCCTTACATCCATATATAATTCAGACAGAGCGCATGAACCCAAAAGAGTTAGTGGACAATCTGAAGGAGGTTGCAGAAAGTGTGACCTCTGCAGAAATCACAAAGTCAAGTTATGAAAAGCTGGATAAAATTGCAATCTTGCTGAAAGAGTCATTCTATAAGGCTGTTGAGAAAACTGATTACCTCAAACAAAGGTTAGACAGTGAAATAGTGTTTGCTAAGGAAATTGAAGAATATGTCCTTCAATTTAGAAGCGAACACGAGGTCCTCATGACGAAACATTATGAACAGATGTTTCAGTTACAGCAAGATACAAGTGCAGAAATTGATTTGCTGAACAGCAAACTACAAGTACTTGAAGCATCACTATCGGAAGCAGAGGATAGAGAACAAGCGTACCAAGCCTCGCGTTCAGATAACGATGTGCTAAAAGCACAGTTACAGATCGCATTGAAGGAGCTGGACGCTTGCAAGGCAGACAAGACGGAATCACTCCGACGATGGCTGATTTTAATAAAAAAATATCAGACATCACAGGAGGACCTGAAAGCTTGTGAGGAGAATTTAGCTACAGCTACAAACCAGATTTCTGATATGGGGCGGCCTGGTCTAAGACTCAAAGACGAACAGTATCAGGGTCCGAGACAGCCACGAACTCTCCAGTCAGATGCTGTTGCACCTCTTCCTCCTGACAACACGCCGTTACCCCCACCCCCACCATGGGCGGTAGGGACAGAACTGCACCAATATGCACCTCTTCCTCCTGAC